TGGGGAATCGGGGAAGGGGAACAGACAGGTAGACAAAGATATCACTTCACTGGCCCAAGTTGGCACCATCATTGCGCTCTTCCCAGGCGAGGCAGATCAGTCGCCGGCTTCTGGACGGCAGCTCACGGCGGCTGCCGGCTGCTCACGGTAGCTCACAAAAACTCAAACCTGCCACTGGCCAGCCCCACTGCAGCCCATGCCATCGCCGGTGAGTCACGGCAGCCCACCTCCAGGTCGAGCTGTTGTTCACCATCCTAGTTGTAGAGGGCGCAGCGTCACTGGCCCTCATGTGGGATCCGAACCGGGGCCCTGCTGCTCAGAGCTGGCGTCCCAAGTCAATTCCCAATCAACGCGCCACTTGGCCGGCCCATGATATGTTTCTTTGTGCACAAAACTTACTTGGAGTAGTAGAGCTTGCAGTTCTTTTATTTTTTCTAGATTTGGAAAACCCATCTGTGTAGAGAAATTTCTTTCTTTCTGAAGGTACCTTTGAATCTTCATTACCTAAGTCCAAAGATACAGAACTAATGAAGATTTCAAAAAAATTTTTCCCATTAAGAAATGTTTGAAAGTTAACAGGGAGCATATTCATGTGATAGGCTCTGCTAAGGTGGTGGGAGAAACGGCACATTAGAAGCACAAAGAATGAGCTACAGTATCACTACAGTTTTAGCTCATATGCTTCAAGCAGGCAGAAATTTTCTGCTTCCTGTTAGAAGTTATTTTCCAGAAATTTAAAAACACTTTTTCAGGACTTCTGCTATGAACATGTTATTTTTAGAACTAGAATGATAGAAATCACATAATCCCACCAGCCTAAAAAACACCATTAGCATTTTGGCATATTTCTTCAGCTCCTTTGCTTCTATACAGATTATACTTCAGAGATATTGTTGGTTCAGTTCCAGATCACTGCAATAAAGCAAGTTGTAATCTTTGCTGGTTGAGGGTCTTGCCTTCAATTTGTGAAAAATGCAACATCTGTGAGTGCAATAAAGCTAAGCACAATAAAACAAGGTATGCCTGTATTTGTTTTGTTTTTGTTCTTTAAATCCAATTGATGTCTTGGTGTGTATAAGGTTTACTATTTTTCCCCACCTATAATCATTTTCCACATTCTGTTATCTTTCTCAACTTGAAGCAATCTACTAAAAAATATTCAAGTGGGTTTTCAAGAAATACTACTTGTAAAGTCACCCATCCCTAAGGTTCCTTAATGCATCCATAAAAAAAGGCAAAAGACTATTTGATAAGAGGAGGAACTCCAGGGGTTTCTTCTTGGACCTTGCCTCTAAAACCATAGAAAAGTTCCATGAAAAACAGGTTATTTACAGAGTCAGAGTTACTCCTCACAAGATACTATTACAAATGGAAAAATAGTGACTTTACAGAGGAGCAACTTAGCAGATACCACTATAACCAGGTGATGGAAGTTAACATGACTTGTCATAGGACAAACCCACACCGATGCCTTCTGGGGTGCTGGCAGCATCATCCCACAGGATTCTGGGCGAAGTGCATGATTTGAATCTAACCATCACCACACATTAGACAAACCAAGTCCAGGACCAAAAACTACTAGCCTGTATTTAAAAATGTCAACATCTTGAAAGATGAAGGAAGACTAAGGAACTATTCCAGATTAAAGTAGATTAAAAAAACATGACAATGAAATACAAAGGCTGAGCTGAGATTTTCCTTTAAGGAACAAAATTGATAAAATTATTGGATGAAAATATTGGAATAATTACTGAAATAATTGATGAAACTAAATAAGGTCTATCTATAGATTAGATCAGCTGTTCTCACACTTTCTAGTCTCAGGATCCTTACATAATTTCAAAATTGAGGCCACCAAAGAATTTTTGTTCATGTACATTAGTTATATCTATCAATATATGCCATATTAGATACTAAGACATATAAAAACATTTGATTCACTAAAAACAATATGCCCATTAAAATGTTAACATAAATAAATTTATGAAAAATGGCTAAAATTTCTAACAAAAATATTGAGTATTTTGTTTTGTTTTGTTTTGTGTTTTTTTTAAACAATTTCTTTAATGTTTGGCTTAATAAAAGGCAGCTAGATTATTTGATCTGTGTTGCAGACAATATGTTACTCTGTTGTTTTGGTTGAAGTATATATGAAAGCAAATCTTGCCACATACAGATATGTGGTTGAAAGGGAAGAGTATTTTAATAGCCTTTTCAGATAATTGTGGATATTTTTCTTTGACACGACATTAAAACTTAACAAGTGGTAGTTTCTTAAAAGTTAGTTGCAATGTGGAATATGAAGCCACATCAATGAACTTTTTGTACTCTGCACATTTGTGAAAGTCCTTCCTTGTGTTTTAAGGAATACACACTGAAGTATTAGAGTAAAGGGGCCCATATCTACAACTCTCAAACAGTTCAGCAAAAAAAAGTATGCACCCATATCTATATGTATATGTGTATATAAATATAAATAAAGAGAGAGGGGAAAATGTAAAGTATTAACATTTGGGAAATTTAGGCAAAAGATATATAGGAACTTGGTACTATTCTCAGAACTTTAAGTGTGAAATGATGTCAAAATAAAGTTTTAAAAATTCTTCTCATCAGAAACTAACTACATGATCAGATTTTTCTCCTTCAAACAGCCTGTGTTTCATAGGCAAACCTTACTTACTGGGTCCACCCTCATGTATTTCCACATCATCAAAACTGAGTCCCAGACCAAGTCTCCTTGATAAAATGGTTGGTAAAACAGAAGACATTTGGAATTCCACCCTCAACTACTGACTGTTGTATTTCTTAACAACTTGTTCTAAATCATGATTTTAAAATGGGTTTATGAGGCATATGCATCAAAATTACCTGGAAGCAGACTTCCAGGCTCACCTCAGACCTACCGAATCAGAACCTAGATCTCCTAGAATTAGATTTAGTAAGACACACTAAATTCTGGGGAAAATGGGAAGGCTCAGCATTAGAATTTCTGCATTTAACTCCTTGGTGGACACTAGAATGAATCACCTTCCAACTCAATCCCCTCAGGCAAGCCTCAGGTGCCCAGACAGATTGGCTGGGGTGAACTGAACACTGAGACGCTGCTGTAATTGGCAGGCTTCCTGAGGAATGAAATCTGAAAGCACCACGTTCTGTTAGGTGTGGGGGAATTGAAGGTTTCTGGTGTTATTGAGATAAACTTTTAGTTGAGAAAGTTTAGGGAAGAGGTTTTCAGGGGGTTAGAGACTAAGAAGAGTATGCTTTTATCATAATAAAAAAGGCCACACTCCTGGGACGGTAGACTTTGCAACTCCTTTTTAACTGCCCTGGTTGAACAGGCAAACATGTCTTTGTACCTGTCTCTGGAGTTGGCCAGAAGGAGCTACTGTACCAAATGCACGCTGTCCTCATCACTGAGCAGAGATCAACTTTCCTAAACCTCCAGCTACCACTTATTCTGGTTTCTCAGATTACTAAAGATGACCTGATGGCCTACTATATTTGGTTCTAACTTTTGCTTTAATTGCCAAACCCTCAGAAGTTATAATGATGTTATGGGTTGAATTGTGTGTGTCCCTCC